TTTTTGAGTGGTTTAACTTTTGAGATAAGAGATAAGGTTGAGCTTCTCCCTTATAGGGATTTGAATGATTTGGTTCAACTTTGCATCAAGGTTGAACAACAAAATTTGAGAAAAGGTTTCAAATCAAGCTCATACTCATCTTATTACTCTAAAGTTGATTACAAGAGGGAGGGTAAGCAAAATGATTTTGAAAATAAAAATACTTTCCCCTCCAAAAATCTAGACAAGGGTAAAGAAAAAGAAAAAGATAAAAAAACAAACACCTCACACACTAGCACCAAGTCTAGTGACATAAAGTGCTTTAAGTGTCTTGGGAGAGGCCACATTGCTTCTCAATGCCCTAACAAGAAAGTGCTGATCTTAAGGGGCCAAGACATTTATAGTAGCCAAGATGAAGCTATTACTTCTTCATCTTCAAGTGAGGATGAAGAAGAAGCAAGTGAGGGAGAGTCATGTGAGGTCACTCACCCTTACAATGGGGAACTTCTTATGATGAGAAGGGTCCTCAACAATCAACCTAGTGATACACAATCCCAAAGAGAGAACATCTTTCATACAAGATGTAACATTTCAAACAAGGCTTGTTCTCTCATAGTGGATAGTGGATCTTGGTGCAATTGTTGTAGCACTAGGATGGTTGAGAAGTTGGGCTTGATTGCACCCAAATTTACAGGTAAAAATAGGGTTTAAATCAGATTGGGGTAGTGGGGATTCCTGGAACAATTCAAGAAGGAGTGCAACTTCTGCAATTATTCTCTGCAAGTATATCAATTTTTTATAAGCTATGCTATTCAATTTCATGTTGCAAAAAACCAATCCAACTTTTTATGCTAAGGAATAGAGGAAATAGCCGGAGAAACTGGAGACTTTAACAGTGTTTGTTAATGTATAAATCTGGGACATTTTAAAATCTTACATTATTCTCCCAAATCAGACTCTTGTTCAAGTTTCCTGCATGAGAAATATAACCAACATAAAACTGTATATACTAACAACAAACTACACTAAAAATAATTAATATTTAATAATATTGATTAAGAGTAAATACTGAACTGCAGGCTCTAGATAAAAATCAGACGTGGATTTTAACCTCTCTTCCTCCTGGAAAAAAACTTATAAATGTAAGTGGGTTTTCAAGGTAAAACATTATTCAGATGGATCCATTGAAAATCATAAGGCTAGATTGGTAGCTAAGGGCTTCACACAAACTGAAGGAATAGATTTCATGGAGACATTTAGTCCTGTAGTGAAGATGACAACCATCAGACTATTACTTTCAATAGCATCTGCTTCTAATTGGCACTTACATTAATTGGATATAAATACTGCATTCTTACATGGTCATCTTAATGAGGAAGTATATATAGAGCCCCCACCAGGTCTTGAATTACAAGATGAGAAGCTAGTTTGCAAACTTACTAAGTCAATTTATGGACTTCGACAGGCTGGTAGACAGTGGAAAGCTAGGTTGACAGAGGTTCTAATTTCATTGGACTATTCTAAATCCAAAGCTGATTATTCATTATTCACAAAGAAATCATCTAAAGGCCTCACAGTTATTCTCACATATGTTGATGATTTAGTTCTTGCTAGTGAGGATTTAGATGAGATCAACAATGTCAAACAAATTCTTCATAAAGAGTTTGGCATTAAATATCTTGGACAACTCAAATTTTTCTTGGGTTTAGAAGTAGCAAGGTCTGCTAAAGGTATTTGTCTCAATCAAAGAAAGTATGCATTAGATTTGCTTCAAGACACTGGTTTATTGGCTTCAAAACCTTGTTCTACACCAATTGATCACACTAATCATCTTCATAAAGCTTCTGGACCTATGTTTGAAGATGTTACAAAGTATAGATTACTTGGAAGATTGATTTATCTAACCAATACTAGGCCAGACATATCCTATGCAGTTGGTAAGCTAAGTCAGTCACTTGATTGTCCTATTGTTGCTCACTATCAAGCTGCCCTTAGGGTGTTGAAATACATTAAAAATGCACCAGGGAAAGGTCTCTTCTTTCCAGCCGCATCAGACATGAAACTTACAGGTTACACAGATTCAGATTGGAGTACTTGTACTGATTCTCGAAGGTCCACTTCTGGTTTCTGCTTCTTTTTAGGACAATCTTTGATATCCTGGAAGAGTAAGAAACAATCCGTTGTATCCAGATCATCCTCAGAAGCAGAGTATAGAGCTATGGCTTTAGCAACATGTGAATCTCAATGGATAGTCTATCTTTTACAGGATTTTGGTATTTCATCAACATTACCAGTGATATTGTTTTGTGATAATCAATCGGCAAGATACATAGCTGCAAATCCTGTTTTTCACGAAAGAACCAAACATATAGAAATAGATTGTCATACTGTCAGAGAAAAAATTGAATCAAGCTTTCTTCATTTGATGCCTATCACCTCAAAGGAACAAGTTGCTGATGTCTTGATGACAAAACCCTTAGTCTTTGGTCCCTTCCAAGTTCTTATTTCCAAGCTTGGAATGTATGATATATACATTCCACCTTGAGGGGGCATGTTACAGAATATAATGTGAACAACAATTTACTGTTAGTTAGTTTTTTATCTTTCTCAATTAGTTTGTGATTAATTACAATTAGTTAGTTGTTATAATTATTTTTTCTTCTATAAATAGTCAGCCTTGTATTTTTGTTTTGTGGTTTTGTAATCTTCTTTCTCTGTTTTTCTACAATAAGAAATTTCCTTAATTCTCTTCAGAATTTTTTCTTTTGTGGTTCTTAATCTACATACTATGCCATGATTTTTGACATTTTGGGCAGGAAAATTTAGTGTAGAAGGCATCAGAGCAAGGACCCAGAAATGTGGAGCTGTAGCTCCAGGAGCAGCTCAGAGGCCTGAAGCATTTTGAAGAGAACAAAGGCCAAGTCAGAGAGTTAGCACTGCAGCACTAACTCCGAAACTTCTTTTTCATTTTCTCTACTATTGTCTTTCTTTTTACATATAATATTAGGATTATATATTTTTTTTTAATTTTTTTATCCCCCTTTTTTTACTTTCTTTTTTCTTTCCACTTCTTTCTTTTTCATTTTTTTACGCCTTTTCCATTTAGTTCTTTTCCAAATTATAGAGCATGAAACAATTTCTGAAGCTCTATTATTTTTGTCACTGTTTTTTCTTGTCAATTATTGAATATGAAACCAATATGTTTTTATGTCTCTATTTTATTTGTTTCTAATTGCATAGCATGAAAACAATATATGATGCTCTATTATTTTTATGTCTTTTTTTTAATTTTTTTTTATAATTATAGAGCATGAAACCAATCTACACTACAACAAAATTTGTTATTAATGACAATTATTTAATGACAATAATTTAATTGCCGCCATATATAAAAATATTAATGGCTAATATATAATAGCCACTAAAAATGTATTTATATTACACTAAAGTACTATTAGCGACAATTATTTATTAGAAAAAACTTAAGTCCTACATCGATTAGAGATAAGATAATTAAACAGTATATAAGTGAGTAATAACTATCACCTTACAAGTTCATTTTATAGGATTGACTCCTAATTCACTATTCTAAATTGGTATCAAATCACCCATTGTTGCCAAGTTCAATAGTGCTATAAAACAATTAGAGAACAACTTTCACCTTATAAATCTCACATCTCTTAAGAGACAAGATAATTAAAAAAATGAACTAAAAAATATATAAATAAAAGATAACTCTCATCTTACAAATCTCACTTCGAGTAGAGATAAAAAAGTATATAAGTTATGAATTTAGAAAAGGAAATTATAGGAATGAATTATTTAAAGTAAAGGAGACAAATGAAAAAAAAAATAACTTTTAATAGCCTTTAAAATGGTTACTAGAATTTCCACTAAAAAAAAATAAGTTTTTCTGACAATTTAGTAGATCTTTACCAACATTTTATATAAATGCCGGTAATAGTATTAGCGACACTGGATATACCAGCCATTATTTAAATGCTGGTAAAAAAAATAATGGTCATTTATATGGCCGCTAAATAATAAACTAATTGCCACAAAAAACTAATTTTAGTGTAGTGCTATGATGATCTATAATTTTTATGTCTCTATTTTTTTTTTTATATAATTAAAGAGTAAGAACATTATTCTTTTTTAATTGTAGAGATGAGTACAGAAGAAGAGGATGAAATCAAACCTCTATGGAGATATGTTAGAAAATTAAGAAAGGCTTCTAGAGGCGTAAATTTTCAGATCAAGTACAACTTTTATGAAATTCTATTCAATGGATCTTACACTTGAATAAAGGCTCACTTGCTAAA